CATCCGAATTAGCAACCACCCGACATATACAAAATAAAACTCGATCTCGGCATTCAGTTTATGAATGTCGTAAACGTTTGTGCCTCGGACGTTATTAAAAGTCGGCTCTATATCAAGGAAGGAAGTGACCGCATAGGTCTTCTAGGAGAGGGACTGTTCAATTATCTCTACAACTGAGTGCAGAACCGAATTCACCGATCTGCCCTTGCAGTAGGCGTGTTGGTTAAAGCACATACACTTCCTTGGAAACTTGTTTTTCATGTGGAGCTAAATCAATAGTTTCAAGTGTCTTTAGAAGAAATAATAAAAAGCTAATAGTCATGAATTTTCTGGGGTTACGTAAGAGACCTGGCCAGCCTGGATTATATAAGTAACTCTGATCACTCCCTAAAACTTTGGCATATACAAAGCTCCTGTCTATGTAGCTCGTCTATGAATTTAGGTCCGGCGATACAACAACTCCACAGACTTGTTTGTTTGTTTTAGCTGAGTAAAAAAAGAGCTAAGCGAGTTGCTTGATATTCAATCTCCTCCACGGTTAACGCTGGCTGCTGAAAATTTTCAAGAAAAGCTAAAAGGTGATGGATTTTAATCAAATTGGTTTGCGGATGACTTTGTTATCTAACTACATCATAGGTTGACATAAGGAAGACTGAAGGCAGACTAAAACTAGCTGATAAATGGTGTTCTCTGAATGACTATCCAGCAAATCCACTCAAGTTGATCACAGCTTCAATCAAAAAAGTATACAACCCTTTTATTTCCGGATATTGTCCAAAGTTTACCGAGAACAGTTTTTTAATAAATATTCTAAACTTACCGCTGAAAGATGACTGCCATAGAGAAAAGCGATTCACAAGATTCGATTTGCCATTGAGAAACTTGTGAAGTTTTGACAGGAGGGACATTGGAAACTGATCAACCCCAAGCACAGCTTTGAGAACGATTAACGTCGCCATCTAGAATCTGGAGAATGATTTTCATCAAAGTGGCAGTAACTAATGCGAGTACTTAGGCTCTCATGGCTAAACTTGGGATACTATATGTGAGTCTCTTATAGGAATTATCACCTTGTAGGGCATAAAAAAGTAGCCTTATATGCCTGTGAATCTGGCAATGGGAATGTAAGTAATGGATTTAAGACACTCGAACGAGGGAGATGTTGACTCCTGCGAAAAGTTGAATTGTTGAGCTTACTGACTTAGATATTGCTCATTGTTTATAATCTTAAGATTCTACAGATCACTTCGTGCAGGAGGTATGACCGATCGATAACAAACAAATAATTAAACCCGTTTAATTTTTTAGATAATTTTATTTAGGTATATAACTAAGATATGCAAGTTTTTCTTAGATATAGTATAGGAATAGTTTATATGTTTTTAGTTTATATGCTTGTATACATAAATCTCATTTAGAAGTAGGCGATCAATTCTTTTCATATAAAAAACACAGCACTTGAAAACACAATAACAAACAACTTACTCTTTTCCCAACTAATAAACTATTTTAATATTTTCAACTGCTATTTCTGCATCAATAATAAATAGTATATATTTTTTCTACTTATGACTTTTCCATCTTTTTAATCTACATTAATTTTTCATAAAAAAACTTTACTCTCAAAAACTCACTCTTATAACTGAATGCGCATCTAAATGTGAAATGCTTAAAAAAAATATGCTGAAATATATAAAAACCAATAAAAATATTTTAATCTCACATTACTATTTTCTACTATAGACCACCACCAATGCTTGAATGTGTTATTTTTTTTATTTGCTACGACTTTTTATTGTTCGAACCAAATATGAAATTTTAAACGAAATTTGAGCTTTCATCATAAACTCGTATACAATACAAATAAAAACCAATAAATTATAAATTTAACGGCGCATTGCATCTTGCGTAGTTTACAAAAAAAAACCGAATTAAATTTAAAAAGCTCCCTACTCCCCCCTAAAAAAAAAATAAAAATTTGAAAATACACACCTCCAAGTAGTAATCAAACTATTCTAAAAATTTTACGAATTTTTTGAAATAACTAAAACCACACACACCACAACAACAACAACAACAAAATGTCGCGTGAAAATTCGCCACGGCACAGTATACGGCGGCGCCATAATCAATTTCTACAGCAACAACAACAGCAAAATCAGCCACAACCACATAATTTACAACAAGCAGCAGCAACACAATCGCAGCCACCCATAATGGAGCATATGGAACAGCAGCAACAACTACCACAGCAACCGCTGGGCGCTAGTGGCAATGTCAGCGGTGGTGGTGCTGCGGGCAGCGCACCCATATCCAGCTCTGCCTCTAATATTAGCACCGCCACGGACGATGGCAATGGCGAGAATGCCACACTGCCGCCACTTACCGGCCCTGGGCCGAGCAGACAGCGTTCGTTGCGCGACCGCCTGAAGGACGGCATCACCGGCAGCTTTTCATGGCAGTAAGTTGGCTTAGCAGATTTTTATATTTACATTTTTCTCTATTATTTACTTCTTTGTGTAAATTTATTGAAAATCGTTTTATTTGTTTCTTTGAACTTTAATCAACTGTTAGCTCTTGAATTGTTTACAGTCGTTAAGATATTGATTTTTTGGTACTTCATTTAATTTGGTAATGAAATTGGCATTTGAAGCATTTTTTGCGGCGATTAACGCTGTGAGTTCGTAGACTAAAATTAAAAATCTGAAATTTCTATTACTTCTGTATATTTTATTATTGTATTTGCGTAGGTTGAAAGTTACGAAAGAGGTTTGAAGTATTTATTTAATTAGCTTTTTTGTTAATGAAAATACAAGCAAACTGCTATACGGAAGTACATATATATTATCTTTAAAGGATTTGTCTGAACTAAAGATGCATGAAAGGTACACATGTGGAGCGGGTAATGCAATTTTAAGAATTGCTTAGTGGTACCTAAAAAAATATTTTTCCGAAACTAATTATTTGCTAAAGTGCTGAATTTTACTTGAATACCATTGCTTGTTCTTATTTGGCGCTACAACCTTTAGTCCGTTTTGGGTCGAAACCAAAAAACTTAAAAGATATCCTCGCCCCTTTGCGAAGTTATTCCAGTTAATTAAACCTTATGCAGTTGGCACTTCTATTGTTTGCTGGTATAACAGGGCAATTCTGGCAACTATCTTTCAACTCACCGCAGTTTTTCGAAATCCAAAATTTTCGTAGATAATCGTCTTGGCAACTACATATATTGATTGATTTTTTCTTTCGTAAGAACTGCTAACCAGGATGTCTTAGCGTTATTCTGTTTGCATTTTAGCAATTAAAAAACACTTTATTTGTTAAATCAAAGTCTAAAAATTAAAAGATAATTAAATAAAAAAAATAAAAAAATTTAAATAAAGAAAGACAAAAAATGAAATAAGTTTCTAAAAATTTAATACAGTTATAAAAAATCTATTTAAAACAATAAAATCTAAAAAGTAAAAGGTTGAATTAAAAAAAAAAAATTAATTAAGAAAAGAGTAAAAGAAAAATAAAAAAATGAGTTTCTGAAAACTAAATTAAATTAAAAAAATAATTTTCTTCTTCTTATTTGGCACTACAATAAAATCTAAATATTAAATTAAAAAAATTAAAAAGGAAAAAAATGTAATTAAAAAACAAAAAAAAATGATTCCTAAAAAACTAAAAAAAAGGTTTTTTGGGACAATAAATTCTAAAGATTGAAAGAAAATTAAACTAAACAAAAAGTTTAATTAAGAAATATAGAATTAGTTTTCAAAAAAGAAATGACATTTAAAACATTTTTCTCGTTTAAAACAATAATATCTAATAACTAAAAGAAAATTACGTTAAAAGGAAAAAAATACATTATAAAAAAATAAAATGAGACCCTAACATTAAATGAATTAAAAATAATATATTTTTTCAAAACATAAAAATTTAAATATTAAACGAAAAAAATTAGAATATTAAAAAATGAATGTAAAATACATAAACTAGGTTTCTCAAAATTAACAAAACTAAAAAAATATATACTTTTCTTTTAAAAATAATGAAATCTAAAAACTTAAAGAATATTAAATTTAAGAAAATATTTAATTAAAGAACAGAAAAAATAAGTTTCTGAAAACTAGAAAGAAGAAGAAAATTACATAAAATAGGTATTGCATAACTCAATTATACAAATACATATATAATTTTCTTTTAAAATAATGAAATCTAAAGTAAACTAAATTAAAAAAAGAAAAAGTTTAGTTAAAGAACAGAACAAAAACAAAATACATAAGTTTCTAGAAACTAAGTAAATTAGTAAACAAAAATTTAAAGTTTAATATTAATGTATTAAATGAAAATTTAATGAATGAATAAAAAAAATAAATTAATAAATATACATAAAATAGGTCTCTAAAAATTAACTGTGATATAAAAGATATATATTTTTAATTGCAAAGGGCTCCCGCTCTCAAGAAAAACTAAAAATTCATATAAAATGACGCACAAGAAATGGAAAAGAGATTTTCTTCTATGAACATTTTTTAAATCAGTATCTAGCTAAATTTACAGCAACGGTGAAGTACTTTTTCAGGCAACAGAAATAACGAAAAATATTCCTTGTGATTTTCTTGAGAATTTCAGATAGCCCTTGAAACAATGAAGCTTAAAAATTAAAAAAAATTAAATAGAAAAAATAAAAATTCTTCTGCTCGCGGATTCGAACTTTCGGCCTCTCGAAAGACACGCCAGTGCTTTGCTCACTTGGTTATTGCGACTGTTGCAGCAGCGCGAACAAAATGATACACATCTCCATTGGAAACATGCTTAAGTACTTTCAGTGAAAGGAGCTATTCACCGTTGGCGACGGAGCTTTTTTTGTGACACTTTTTGATACTGACGGGAAGAGGAAAATATCTACACTACTATCTATATTTTTTTTAGTATTTAGAATCGCTAAAAATAATTGAAAATAAATTCTGCTAACTCCAAACACATAAATTTTTTTCAATGAAAATTTTCTAACACCATAAATATATGATTTAGTACAAAGGACCTATCGAACATTTCACACGAATTTTCGATTGATATTTGACTGACGCACAGTGGGATCGAACTTTGAAGTTTGTGCAAGCAGATTTCCCATGCTATTGATTGAGAGTTTACTCTACCATACCACAGATCCATGGCTAATTATGGGTATTGTCATAGAGGTGTAAATCCACATCCGATTTAAAACTTAATTAAAAAAAATTAAAAAAATTAGTTTCTAAAAAAAAAAAATAAAAAATTACAAAAGAAAAAAATTATTTAAAACTTAAACAAAAAAATATAAATATATGTACATACATACGTATAACTTTCTTTTTAAAAATATAAAGTCTAAAAGTAAATTTAAAAAAGAAAATAAATAAATAAAACAAAAATTGCGCGAGGAAAATAATTTCAAACTTTAGCGAGGAAAATAGTTTTTGAAGGGGCAAAAAAACAGAGTACACAAAGGGCAACAAAAAGGTATTTTAAAATTTTAGTGGGTAGTTATTACTTAATAATTTTTTTTCACTCTTCTGAATAAATTTTACTAAAAGGTGTTAGCAGCTTTTACCGCGGCGCTCTTTCGGACGAATTCAAAATCATTCGCATGGAAACTAGCAGTTTGCTTGTA